AGTGGTTCCGGCATCCAAAACCAACTCTCTTGTTCCCTCGATTTTCTCAGGAATATATCACACAGAAATTAGTGCCCTATCATTGTTGCCCTGTACATTATCATTATCCCTGACTCTCGCCCAGCGGAAAACCGATTCCAGACTAGCGAAACCTGCAAGTGGAAGATAACACCTCCAGCCAGGCAAGAAGTATATAAAAACGGGGGGTTCGGAGTTTTTATGGGAGCTCAGATACGCATAGATTTCTAGCCATATGTTGTGCGGATCCCGTTTTCGGGCACCTCTTGCTTTCCACGGATAGGCTAGGGCGCGATTACTCGGCCCCCAATATAGAAAAAGTATTGTAAAGGGAATATCTAACGCGCTACCGGGAGAGGTAACGGTAACGTTCTATCGGGGAGGTCACTCTACAAATGCCAACACACACCCAACATAGCCAACCCCAAAGTTGTATGAATCCAAAATTAAACTGTGCATGTAAGGCAAGTAAATATTGACCAAGGAAACTTCCTGAAAGCCAAGGCATGGATGCGAGACGTGCGTTGTGTAGGCAGTGGGGGGGACAAGAGGGAAAAAAGGGGTTCTTTCCTGGAAGGTATTTTTTCCTGTATCGACAAGGGGTAATGACTTGCGGATACAATCCACCCGGTGGTATCCGTTGGTTATGATCCAATCTCCCACCTTATCATCTTTAATACCCCCCGCTTCTTTTACAGCCTCTACCATGCCTCTACTAGCCACTATTAGTGAGAACACTGGTTGTTTCATGACCCTGCGATACCCCTTTCCCTCTATCCATCTTCACTCTCATCCCAAGCCTGTACAGAACGCTGGAACGCGGAGGAGCACATGAATGCTGGCGTCTTGAAGAACTAGAGCGCGCCTTGCTAGAGACCCAATCTTGAGTCATGAAGGGTAAAATGGGTAGAGGTTAGAGAAGATGATAGGATGTTGTGGATGATTCCGGAAGTGTCAGGAGTACGATGGATCACTCGGGAGTGATGGGGACTGTTCTGGAGATTCAGTGGTTTACGGAGAAGCTTCTCTAGACATGTCTTTCCCCTGTTATCATGGGAGTATACCGTGGAACAGGGATAGGCATAGAGGAAGAGAGATATGCTCGGCAACCTATGAGAGGAGGGAAGGCTCTGGTTCAGTTTTACATATATATGCCTGTCTTTACCGTCAGTTCCGAGATAAGAGGAGCCGATCAAGGGGTCGAAGTTTCTAACCATCACTTTATCACACGCCGCTGGACTCTATGTAAGAGATGTTCCGCCCACTATACCCCTGCATTGATGGTTAAGTCACCCATGGACCTTCGAACCTCCGCTCATGAGAAAAAATCGCCGGAAAAAAGAAAATGACCCTAATGGATTATAAACTACTTGGGGAAGGCCGGACCTTAGACTCGAGCCAGATTGATACGCACCACCAATACACAAACACCCAACTGCTGTGTTGGGCGGCTTTCAACACTTCACGTATAATCACTCGTATAATTCGGCCTATCAAAACAAATCAATATCAAAAAAAGAAGTCTTCCTTCGAAACACGTACTTCAACAGTTAGTAGGCGAGAATCACTCGCGCGGAGGGGGAAAGACCAAGTAAAACAGAATCAGGAATTGTTGGAATGTACAGATAAACCACCCCGAATAAATCAGGAAATCAAGAGTCAAAAGTCATAGTAGTGGGGTAGAAGGGACGTAGCAAATCAATTTCGGTACCTAAAGGGTCCGGAACCATGCCCCAACGCAATATAACCTGGGGACGCGCTAAATAATTACGCCAGTCATTAGTGTACTATCCCCTTTCCTAGGATGTGTTAGCAACTTAAGGAGTGATATTCTGTGATTCTTCTGCATGTAGTTTTCCGCCCACTTAGCTAGTTGAAACCATCTACAGGGCACATTGTTCCTAATAGCCATACACGAGCCCAGAAAGACCCATCTCCCCCCCCCCCCCCCTTTGTTACTAGGCGCTGTTCTTTGGTCACTTCATTATCCGCCGAGCCCAGTAACCTCCAGTCACTCCTATACCCTTAGCATGTAATTCTTCCCCACCCAGACTACATTCTGTTAGTAGTATGGTTCCAAGATTCCGGGAGCATTAAGCAATTGCATAACCCCTAGTGGTGGGAAAAAACCACCAATTGATCCTAATGGTCCAGCGGTGGTCAGATCCTGCTTCCTCCGCCTTTATCACTCCTTCCCTCTTACCCCTTCCCCATTACGGTTGTTATTGAAAACCCCCAACTTCATCCCTCAGAACGAACCAATATTATTCTTGTTATTACCATCAACATCTCTTTCCGATCAGCTTCGTGTGTTTCTTCTTCTTTCGCCGGGCGAGTCGACAGAATGACCCACAGTCTACCAGGCTTGTATTACCGCCACCCCACAATGGGGATTACTACCGGGCTTTATGTCTCTCGCTCAAAACAACTCCCAGGGGTGTATGCGACAAAATGGTAAAACCGGTTCTCAAGTTACAAATTGGCCACGCGCAAAGTATTCGGACACATTGACATTTTTAGTACTTGTCTTGGCGCCAAGCGTCCGGATACTTTATGCATGGCCAAATAGAGAGCGGATCGGAGGTGAAGAGTAGCTTAGAGCGGGTTAGGGGCCAAAACACTTTTAAAGAAGGAAAGGATTTAAGCCGTCCGGCTAATACATACACATAAAACCGGAGAGAGGATGATACTTGAACTCAAAATAAGAATACATGCGCCAGAGCGCCAAGGCGGCTCCGCCATACGCTACCGGTATCAGCCATTCCCTTCTTGCGCATCCCGCATTTCCCTCGCTTATACGCTATAGATAGGGATGGGCCATGCTGGCTTATTGAGAACTTGACCACGGATAGAGATCTTGGTATGATTTCACGCTCATGCTTCACGATCGATTACCGTACCGTATTCGATCCTTTCAACGGCCACACTAGTGGTCGGCTACCGTGCTTGCCAGTACTGTCCGCCACTTGCGGCAACACTAGCCTCGATAAAAAAAGAGAGACACCGGGAATTCGTTACGGAGCGACCACGCGTAACCAACCTGGATCAATGGCAGTTCTCCTTCTCACTCTCTTGCCTGTGCCCCCCAAACTGGCAAACTCCGCTTCCGCAAATGAACTCCAGCGACAAATCAATGCAGATACGCTACATCGTGAAAACAGACAAAAGAAAACCCTAAAAACGAATCGCTTCACTTGACGACCCTCCTTGGGCCTTTTTTTGCAATAAAATATAAGGGCTTCCTACTTTGGTATGATATTCTGTTGTGTTAATAAACTTCCGCTCTCCTCGCCTCTCTCTTCCTATACATTATGACATACAAGTATTGCTCACGTTCCGGGCTCAACCGATAAATGCTCAGTTGCATTACCGGCAGGATTGCTCCTTAGTTTTTTCTTAGGCACTTACTTCTTCTTTGGGCTCATAGATACTGATTAGCAAGCCGTCCATGATCTAATCTTGTTTTAGGGCTGAACGTCCTGGCTTCTGGACAGGGCTGCCAGATTATTCACGAGGATAGCAGATTATGGATAGCGCTGAGTCGTTCTGGTCAACCGTTCATACCAGTACCGTGTTGGGGCGGAGCGCCTCGATAAGGGCATACCAACCAGCAGCCTACCTTCTTGCGCTACGGTATGTTTGTCCCCCACTCCACATCTATGGCAGTTAACCCTCGACCAGAGGGCAATCCAAACAAAACAAAAAAAAAAAGTAAAATAGTGTGGACGGAGGTAGTTCCGTCGAGCCCCTTATCCTGCCGTGCCGTACTTGTAATACGAGTACCGCATGGGACAGGCGGGCTTCAGATCAAGGCTTTTCCATCACCAGTTCAGCCAGCCCAGCGTCACGTGTCGTATCATCATACCGGTACTCCTCCCACACGCCGCAAAGGGAGAGAGCTCTAACGTTGATGCATCACGTGATAATTTATGCTTCTGGCACCCTAAAAAATAAGGCAGAGCGGTCTCCAGGCGTATCCATGACCTGAATGACACAATTGCGCAGGTCCCACGATTCTCCCAAGATTGACAAGCATTTTGTTCTCATGTTTGGTTAAAGCGTATCGACATGTAATTTCACCTCAAGCACTTGTGCTGTCCTCATGGAGCTGGGCCTATTCTCTCCATTATCTATTCGTTCTTTCGTGCGCTATCGAGAACTGGGATATCGTGAGGGTTGGGATGATTGAGGATCCCTCCCAGGACGTTGGACCCGTCTTTCCTAATATGGTTAGTAGCCTCAGCTGAGTGATTACTCGAGTAAGGGGGCTTTTTCGCCGTTCGGTATTTCGCCCCTTGATCCAAAGGGGAATATTCGGGAGGACCTCGTGGCGTTCTCAATCACCGGTATCCCAGTTACCACGGTGAGTGAAGCACAGGAACTTATCATAGGCATCGCTTCTCCAGGCCGGGTCCCGCACAATGGAGTGAAGAGTAAATTAAGCGACTCACTAGGATTTGTTCTGCCAAACAGCGTTCTACGCATTTCCATGTCAGATCGAGCATGTGGTGGACACCACCTGGGCTTTGCAAGTCGAGTTATTATTAGGGTGAAAGAGGATTCTACCCAATCCACCTCCGCGCTTTAAAAAAAAGGAAAAAAAAAAAGCCTCTCGTGAGAGAGGATGCTACTTGTACGGTGCACTTGAAGAAAAAGGAAAAGGAGTGTGTGACGGAGGATTATGTCCAATGCATTCTTTGCACTTTAAGAAAAAAGGAAAAAAGATTCCCCCCCGCGGATCCTGCCCCACCCATCGGTGGGCTTGATGAAAAAAGGAAAAAAAAGCGTTTTGCACGACGGGGGAGGTTGAGATAAATTATGGCTAAGCTATCACCACTCACCCGGATATACATCACCCATCCGTAGAATGCCACCTGCCCCTCTCGTCTCGCCCCTCTCGTCTCTGCTGTCGGGGCTGCCGGTTGGTGTGGCGCAGTGTTGGGTTCGTCAAGCAGGTTCCCGTTCTCTCTTCTCCATCCCTCATCACTCTTCCAGCCCAAACCCTACGAGTGCTGCCTATAAATATATTCGTCACGTGCCTTATCTAAGGGCACTTCGCAACCAAAAGGTGCACAGAAAAATTTTCTTATCGGACTCACGTGACGAATATATCCATCGGCCGCACTCGTACACAGCTCGCTACAGAGCCTGGGAGCCCAAGAACATCGGGATTTTCACGAACCATAGCGCCGAGTTTCGTATCCCCCTAGTGGGATGTAATTCTAGGTTGTAAAGGCCGAGAATTTTCAAAATGCAGAGTAGATGAATTATACTCAGCGGTTTTTAAAGTTTCCCGAACGAGAGTTACAGGCCAGATGCCAAAGTTACTGTAAGTTACTACAGATTCTGTCGGGCTGTATGTACCACCAATTTCGTGGTAAGTGAATAACTTATGACACTCATTTCCCGTACTTGGACCCTAACCCAGATACGGGCGCGGTTCTTACGGGGGGCGACAAACACAAACACCCCACAGATTGATAGAACTGTTGGGGAGGAGGCTTTTAGGATGGTTTATACCTGAGCATCCTAAGTTGGACCCAGGGCCGTAACCAGCAACCCGACAGCAGAGGTGGGGGCTAATGGTAAGTATATATTTCTCCTGCCTGACCACTCCCCTCTCCTTCCCCCCTCCTTAGTCTCTATCTCAACTCCATCCTCTTACACGCTTCTCACTATCCTTCGCAAGTAGAGCGTACATTTGCTTGCAGCCCCCACCACAATCGACTATAGTCACGAGCCCTCCTGTGGGAGAACAAGAAGACAAAAAGGTAGTTCAACGATTCCTCTCCTCTATTAGAAATTCACACTAAACATACTGCCTAGAACCACACGACCGGCACGGAAAAATGGTAAACCTCCCCTCGCGCGACGACTCTACACGGAAAATAGAAGACAAAATTCGTGAACTACGGAATGGCGCTTCAAGGCAGGCGGGGGATAGAGAGGCGTTGGATGTGAAGGTCGGGAGTGGGAGAAACGCCACCGGCAGGAATTACAGTACGACGGCCGGGCGCTATGATGGACTCAAAGGTCCTAAGAACTCCAAAGCGGTGGAGGAACTAGAGGGCAGGAGAAGAAAGGCGATGAGTACCACGAGGGATAGGAGTTGAAGGGGGTGGAAGCCGGTTTCGGGCTGGGCAGTCTGGATAGCTTATTGAGAGTAGTTTTAGATAAAGTGGTTGGGCAGGTTAAAATGTTTGAGTGTAGCCTAAGGGAGTAATATAAAATCAAGTCATCGGGATTTAACAACTACACCGAACATAATTGATGAATTGTGTAGTGAAGTGGGTTATCTCCTGATTTCTCCCTGACTTTTGACCCGCCCAAAGAGTGGAGGAAGAAATCGTGGAGGAAGCAAAGAGACGACTTTCTTGGCGGAGCCGTTTTCGATCCTTGATCCTGACAACTGCCAAGGCAGTGCTATGATTCCCCGGTCTGCCGGAGAGAAACCTGCGTTTCGGGTGATTGAACACAAACAAGATGGTAAATACGGAGGTAACCGAGAGCGACATACCGTATGCCTTATTGTGACTATAGTCGCCTCTGGCTATAGTGAACCTACAAGCACTGCTCACTATAGAGATTAGCCAATAGCAAGGCCACAAGACAGGTCGCGCACCAATCACAGTCTTTCCTTTCAGCCCCCATTCACTACCTGGTACAGCGAGGTTCACTATAGCCAAGGGAGAAAATACCGGTATCGCACGACTACCGCCACCAAGTTCTAGCCAATGAGCGCAAGTAGTCGCTAATCCCAGAAGTAATCTGAAATTGGGCCATCCGCAGCAGATTTGATAGGGTTGATGAGGCTTGGCGCCGGGTTTCCGTGCCATTTCATTACTCTCTGACCAACGAAGTCACAGTTAGTCACTCAGGGCAAAATCGCAAGTAAGGAAATCACTAATCAATAACTACGCTTACATAGCGGTTACGAACTTTCCCTAGCCATCGCCCCATATCACAATACTTCCCACTTCCCGTTTCTATCGTTTTATCCGAGCAGAGTTTTTTTAAACCTGACAGCCTAGTGCTCTGCTTCGCTCTCTGACCATCGAGAGGTTCGCTGATTCAGGATGGGCTTACGAAATGGCCCCGGACGAAGAACTGCAAAGTCCCAAGCCCGCGGCTTGATAACACCATCTCCAACACGCTGTGATACTCTACCATATTAAGCCGAATCTATACTAATAATAGTGGGTGCCCCTCAAAAGGCAACAAGAGTACGGTCACTAGATCGGTGCCTAGTCAGTGTATCGTGTCAAACCAAGAAAGAGAAAACATGGTATCAGAGCCTAAATGAGGTAAAATATAAGAGTTATTCCCCGTGTGGCTCACACGTCACTTGTAAGTGAACGGTGCGCTGTGTAGTCAAGAATTCTAATTCGGAAAAAAAAAGGGCGTATAACGGGGCGAAAGAGGGGGAAGTAAAGGCACAAAAAGCTAGACCCCACCAGAGCGCGCGGGGGGGGGTAGCAATTCTAACCACACGAGATACGCAGTTTCCTCATTCTAAAACGGTATGCTATTGTGCCTTTTAGTATGTTATTATCGGCACTTAATATATACCCCTTTTGCAGATATCCCCGAAAGGGATTTTCAAAGAGACAATGTGCCAAACACCACGACGGATTCAAAATGCCTTTTAGATTGGCAAAATCACTCGATCGGCAGCAAACAAAACGGAGCCTCTTTTTCCTCGTTCCGCCTTCTCTTGTCCGGAGAGACGTGCGTGGATACGAATTTCTATCACACTTAACATGGAGATAACTGTTCAAGCCATTTGCTCTGCGTTGGGGGACTGCTTTATGCGCTGTCTGGTATGGTTTCGGAAGACTAAGGGCCTGTTTGGCGGGAGTGGTCGGCGGGTGCACTGTTCCATTCAGCGATGGTTTTCCCTAGGGAAATGGTTGTCTTGGCATCTTCAGAACGGAAGGGAACGGTAAATTTAGTATTATATCCAAACAGGCCCTGGATGCGGGACCGCTTTTCCAACGAGAAGTGTGACAATTTTGTATGTGACTGTAGCCGTAACGCTTAAGGCTTACTAGCCTTAGTCTAATCTATTAGAGATACTTATTTCTTAATATACTCAGTTAAAACTAGTGTTTAATTAAATTAAATTGGTAACTTGTTAAGCAGGTTTTTTTTATGCATACTTCATTTTTTTATTGGGAAAAAGTATTATGGTAGGCCAAGCCTTAACTGAAGTGTTGTGATTTCCATCACATCCAAATGAAATCAGATTTTTTTATGGAAAGATGCGGAGAGGGCCCTATACTACATTAGGGTTAGTAAGGTGGGCTGATAAAATTGTCTGCAGTATGATACTAGTATACTCAAGTATTATAAGGGTCAACTGGATGAGGCAAAAAAAAAGAACCTCCAAGCTGTGTTCCATTAAAAAAAAAAAAGCCTATTTCGTCTCCTTGTTTCTTGTCTCTAATAAGGTGGATCTGATGTTAATGGACTGCAGTAGATTTAATAGGTTCCCATACCACGAGATTTTCTTGTCAAGTTGGCTATCTTCATATAGGAATAGTATCTCTGGGGGTAGCCTTGGTTGGCACGGACATCAGTGATCACTAGCAAGAGGTGTTGGTGAATGTTATCTGATAGCCTTTAAAAAAATTTCTATGAAAAGAGTCACCAACTTAAACAAATGAGAAAAAAATTAATTTCAAAGCATAAGGAAAGGTTATTTGCATATTATGGGTACGGTCGGCCATATTATCCAGGAATTTGATTTCCTTATAATTATCGTAATTTCACTTGATATTGGGAAAGAGGTTGATATCCTCTGTATGGCTTTGTTGGCGAACCCTAATGTCTATCCTAGCAAAAACCTTTTATATCAAATTTACTATCATGTCTGCCATAAAGTGGAAAAAGTATCTCCAACATACCAGCTAGTAACAATTCGCTCTTCTCTTACTGTCTATTTCTTCATCTCCCTTAGTGTTCCCAACCGTTTAGCTCGTCCGTCTTTGGGGTGGGACAGGACGGACCACCGTGGACTGCCGTATTACATCCTGAATTCTTATGAACAAAAGAACCTTGTCAGCCCCAATTTTTCAACCATATCTGAGGTATATTGTGTCGTCCCCCGCAGCCCCCAACAGCCCCCCCCGCCATCCATACCAGTTCCCGGCAGTCCCCGGCATTCCCCGGCAGTTTCAAGAGGTCCCCCACCGTCCCCTTGACTACAATTGATTCACCCTGTAGGGCCCCCGGATGGTTGGGAACACTGGTCTTACGGGAGAGGGGATACAATACATTGACAAACGCCAGGAGAGGGGAAAAATTCTGGAGACTGCATTTAAAACAATAGTCACCTTAGTATATATCCGGAGGAATATAAGGGGACGCAACACACCCCTGGAAGAAATAATTTTCGGCCAACTTCTGCTCCCGGTGAAGTCACGAATCCAACTTGTTAATTCTATGCCTGAAAGTTCTCAGATCTCTACGGAATGTGGCATTAAGAAATTCCAGGAAAGCGTCACATGCAGTCAACAACCTCTGTGGTGCAGCGGCTGCGACGCTAATGAATGCGAGCCCTCAAAAATGATATCCAAATCCGCCAGGTGTGTCGTCATAGTATCGAACTCAACAGAGAACTCAGTGTCCATAGAATGGATGGCAAATCTTACAATGGCAGGGGGTTGCAATGAAACCTTGTTCGGAATCGGGATAGGCGGATGGCACGTCAATGAGGCTGATGTCGGCGGATGTGCTAGTGGCAAGAGAAATAGTAGTTCATTGAAATTCTCCTCCAAGCAAAGGATTTACCTCCTGGTTGATAAAGTTCTCGATGTGTAATGGTCTGTAGACATTGGTTTTGAACTGAGGATTGATGAGCGAGGATCCAATTAGCTTCAAGACCAGTTCTCGTACAGTTCCAGAGAACTTGAGTGTAATTGTCTCCGGCTCGTGGGGATTCTCATCTTCGGAAGCTTCTTGTCATCGTCCGGAGCCTCCATACCAACAAGCATGCGACGGAATGATTTATTTCTAGTCCTGTTCTGTCCCATCATAGCGACGATCCCCGAATAGGTAAATTCACTTTTGTCGGCGTGTGGGTGAAATCTTCCGAGTATCAAGGGTTACTTGACATCAATATAAGATGGGGTTCGTGAAACATGTAACTATCGGCACAAGTGCAGTAATCTATACGCTCAATAATACTACCCATACCCCTTCTGTACTGTAAGTAAAAGACTGGAATAGCAAATCTTTGCGGCTTTTCACCGGAAAGTTGCTCAACACCACCCCCCAACAGTAGACCCAGCTCTGCAACCATCAGTCGAGTCTCCCCAGTCCAAGTCCACATTTAAACAAGCAGGGGATCTCAATCACAGCCTCTATAACTTCATCTCCCCTGGACACGGACCGTTAAGAAGCTCACTCAGAAGACCTCACAGTTCCTCGAATTGCTAGTGGCAACTTTTCAACATACTGAGACATACTGAGGTTTGAAAGCCGCTTTAATATTATCCTCTACGACCTTTGTCGAGCAGTCCTGAAAATCCGAGCGGAGGAAGCAGGACAATGTTTAGTTTCAATCCGGGTTACCATAAGGGCTTGAATTTGGCTTTTGCTTTCCGGAAAGAATATTCAAAGCGGCGGTCATTCCGGCAAGACTAAGAACCTAGCGAGGGCGAGGAGTGGGTAACATGTGAAGCTAGAACAAATTTGTGGGGCAACTATGGGTGGCCCGCATTTCAAGGCTAGTTAGAAGGTTGATAAGGTGAATCGCTGTTAAAAAAGACAGGTACAATTAATATTTCTCTCAGTAATACTTCCCTCGTGGACAATTCGACGTACCTCCGAGAGCGCATTTCTTCAGGCAGATGCAGTGACCAATGCATATCTGCTTGGAGGTGAAAGCAACCCTAAGCTCTGGCGCAGCCTCAATGCACAGTCTTCCTGTCCTAATGACCGGACATGCCTTTTTGCATTCCCCCCAACATTTCTGCAGTTCTGAATACAGGATAAACCCGGTTCTTGTCTCGGCACCATCAAGCTGAAAATCGCGAATTGAATACCTTTGACTTACACTGCGGAGGAAACCCCCGACTCAGCGAATATTCGATTTTCGCTCCGATATAAAAGCACTTCAAGGATGGAAAAAATACATTACCCGTGCTCATGATGGCACCACTATTGGGGGGCAAAATTTTAACACCTTCCACCACAAACCCTTCCACTGACAGGAGAAAACACATCCTGTGTAAGTTTATCAGCCCTATCTGTCACGCTCTGAGTTGGCCCACACTGGATCAGGGGAGCAGGGGAATTAGGTATCATAAGAAAGAAATAATAATTTCGCAGGCACAAACCTGAAGGATGGTCAGGTATCGGATTGAGTGATGAGTAGGGTGGTCTATTCTCGGCCTCTAGGTTCTAGCCAGTTGAAATGTTGAACTCTAACCGATTTTGCACGCTCTCCTTTGTTCGTCACCCCCAGTTAGACTAGAACAGCAATATTGATAAGTCAAGATGGGCAATCAGACATGCCGCGTGTGAATCAATTTAGCCCTCTGAGGATGGTGTTACCGTACCGTGCTCGTGGGCCTGAGGACAGTAGAAGGTGTTAGCAATGCCAATCTCTCTTCCGCCTTGGAGCTTTTTCGTTTCTCTTGCGACACTTTTGATCCACTAACGATAGCGGATAACGATGAAGAGATGGTCAACGACCCCGACAGGTCAAGTACTGTTCTAGCTGGCCACTAATGGAAGACTTCTTCTGCGCTTCCACTATTGACCGTTGCTCAACCCGAATTGGTTTCTTTACTGTCATAGAACCCTACTTCCTGATACGATTATGCTGTTGTCCCGATCCTGTTATATTATTCTTCTACGCTGTGAGTAAACGATATCTGCTATGCCTTACAAGTCACAGCGGCGGGGGGTGGGACCACTAGATCCTCTTAGCAGCTGTATTGCCTTCGGATCCCCCTCGCATCCTTCTACTTGCTTCTGAGGGGTGGTGATATAACAATAACTCGATTCCTCTGATTACTGTTCAGCCAGCCAATGGGTCCCAAGTGTTGGATTGCCTATAGGGCATGGGGTTAGGCGGATAAGCGGTTATCGGGGATATGTTTTGTAGGGCGCAGTGCAGAGGCAGAGGGCAGTGTTTTGTTTCTTTCACATCCTATACCGGTTGGCATAGGATACGGGTCACTCTTGGTGGGTTTGTGTTGTTTCTTTCACACCCTATGTCATTAGGCATATGGTAATTTGGTTTAGGATTTTTCTAGATTGCTGGAGGTTGCGGAGGATCATGACTGACTAGGATAGTGTATTTATTTTGAGTTTGTTGTTTTTCCATGGTTGTTTGTGCTTTTGAGATATATATCTCTTAGTCTTAAGTTAAATCGACCATCGATCACCGTTTCCACCACTTCTGTTCATTCGTTCCACCTCTCACCCGCGCTCATTTTTCACCACACCGCTGTGCATTTTTGAGTTGCTTCTTCACCAAGAACTTTTCAATTCTCCCACATATTGGGATATTGGCCCACGCGAGATATTTATGATTTTTTTTGATTCCCGTTATTTGGAAATTAATCCTGCTGTATAAATTGCAGGATTCTCGTAGGCTAGTAATTGTCAATGATAATTATAGGATCATCTACCCTCATGATTTGCTTAGATATAACACCTGCAGCTGCCCTGATTGGATTGTTGTGTGGTGGGAAAGGTCAATGAACAAGCACCTGTGTTAACAGATGAGTTGGGTGAAGGAAAGGGGAACTCCCCCGGTCTTCTCAGGTGCGAGTCCACTAACTAAATATCATACTAAACACCAGACATTGTGCATCCACAAGCATTCCCCGCGGGTACTTGTTGTATCCAAACTGTCATCCCCACTAGTACACGTCACACCAAGGGTAGCTACCCGGCTATACTCAGCATAGATGCTCCTCGATAATCCAGTTCGGCTGGTCGATCAGCTTCCACTTCTACATTTTTTGTCGGAAGATACTCGCTAATATGAAGTGGGCCGGAGAGCCCCGTTCTGCGGCCAACCACCGGCCTAGAGCAGAGGACATAATTGATGGGGTCACGATATGCCCAAAGCTGAAGAACATGGGGGGATGAGCCTCCGATAAAGGTATTAACAGGTTGTCAGGTGATGTGCGCTTCGGCCACCATTATCGCCCGAGTGGACTGTGGACGAAAGATGTTCAAGAAGAATCCCATATTGTGATTCATTCCAGTGACCTGAAAAAAGCCCCCATTCCTGCGCACTCATGAGTCCATCCTACTTAAAAAAAAAAAAACCTATGTCCACCCCCTCGTGTATCCATGCTACTTAAATTACCAAAAGCAATTAGAAGAGATGATAATGAATCTTCTTACCTTAAACCCAATCCCTGACACCACTTCTAAGACACACCTCAAGCCTGCCCAACTCATCTGCCACCACCTTACGGTTCTTTGAGTCATCCATCTTTGTTAGGAAATATGCTGAAAAATGTCTTGTGAGAAGGAAGCGCAGATTTGAAGTATGGGATCACTGAGGTCGATGACAGGAATGACGTAGACAGTCCTGCATATGCTAGTACAGCCTGTAGGAGGACTCCCGGTTGCTGTTTGCTTTCTCTATACTTTATTTCGTTCGTCTTCTCTTCTTCTCGCTTGTCTTCTTCAACAATACAAATAACTTCTTTGACTATCAAGCCTTCCAATGGGTCAGCCCGGGCTCAAAAAGGGCCGACCCGGCCCAGCCCAAGCCCAACGAAATGTGAGCCCGACCCAGCCCAACCCAGGGAAGAATAGCCCGGGCTCACCCAACGAGCCCAACAAGCCCATTGGGCTTACGCACCAGTGAAGAGGTATAGAATAAGTCAACCCAGATCTATTAATCCTGAATGAAATACAAAATTGCAGATAAGAACAGAGATTGAGCAAAACAAGTAGATAAATACAATATAGCAATAAATCATGACAACTTCCAATAGAAAGATCCTGGTTTAGTGGGAGTGCCAGCTTCGGAGACACTCAGTTGACTCAATCGTTTGTGCGTTGAGGGAGTGGCGGGAGTCCGAAATTGTCCTCTTGGCTCCGGAGAATATGCGTTCAGGTTCGGAAGACATGGCAGGAATCGACAGCACTGAAATCGCCCATAGTGCGAGTATTGGATATTCAACTTGTTGTCGATCCTCCAGCCACCAACTAGAAGAACATTAGTAACAGGGCAATTGGAAAGTTGATTCTAATTTAAATGAAGGTTAAAGAGAAAGAACATACAGAAGAGGATTTTGGATACTAGGTTCCAGTTCAGCATGTGAACAATAGCGCTCCTAGTCATCTGATAAAGCCGGTTCCCCAGTGGCTCGAAGATCCATCCAGGCCCAAAAAAGATTTTCCTCCTCTTCTGGTGGGTCAGGTGTAGGGCTGGAATGTCCCTAATCCCTCCAGTCACGCTCTTCTGGTTGACCAACAACCCTGTTTAGTCGATCCTCCTCCTCTTTATTAGCTAGATACTGTAACCAATATCCTTTTAATCTTTGCTTTCCACTTTGAACCCAATTTCGATCCTACTTAACCTCAAAGTACCGCCACTTCAGCTTTGGATTTAAAACTACTGCAGCAAGATAGACAGAAGCTCTATCTGTAGCAGAAAAATACTTGTCTAATTTTTCCCATCCCATGCGAATCATTGAGGATAGTACTCTGTTATCAGCATTATCCTTAAGGGCCTCACTATATGTATTAAGTAAAAAGTCAATAGAAGGTAGAAGATGTGTGAGGGTTGCTTGATGTCCTTCTGTCGCCTTTATAGCAATCTTAAATGCAGATAAGATTTTATAAACCTTTTCCAGCAGTCTCCACTCGCGCCTCTCTAATCTATCCTCCTCTAATTGAGGATTCTCATCCATATAGACCTCAATAGCATGGCGTAGGTTAGGGCGCAGGAGTGTTTCAAGAAGATTATGCCAGGAATTCCATCGAGTAGCATTATCACGTTTAAGCAAAGTTCCCCCACTCAGCTCACGAAATCGCTTTATTCGAGATGGTGTTTTCCGTGTATGTAGGGCAATGTTATGGGCTTTGCCAAGTGGGCCAATAGTCCTCCATTTTTCTAGCTCATGCTGTAACTGCTCCGGAGTAGCATTTGACCATTCCAGGCTATCATGTAAAGCGCTCTCACTACTCCCAAAGAGAAAGTCCCGAACACTTAAATTGATGATATGTCCAATACATCTGCTAGAATAAATTAATTGATACACTCAAAATTAGAGTATGCTGGAAGTAAATAGAGAGGAGAAAAAAATGATAAAAGTATTTTCTTACCTTAACCTTTTCTCAATAGCATTGAAGCAAAGTCCTGCCTCAAGTTGGGCAGTCTCGAGATGGTCCATGAAAGTATCATTATTTGTCGCATTGTCCATCATAATATACCCAGTCTTGTGTTGAATTCCGTATTCCCTGACAACCTCTAAAAAGGTTCGACATTGGTTCTCTCCACTGTGGATTCGCTTGAGCTCCCGGAGAGCAAGCAGCGACTGCTTCAGATTCCCGGATTCATCTGTATAGTGGG